AAGAGATATGATTTGGGGGTTGAAGAAAGGAGAGGGGACTGTTCTACTGCATTCAGGAATTTGTATGTTGACAAACTCTCTGTCTTAACAATTTAGTTTATTCTTATCATTTTATTTGCTCATTTTCTAACTAGCATTTCTTTTTAAAAGCTATTTGCTATAACCTCAGATGTCCTTCTTCTGCTTATCTCTCAGCCCCTGTCTCCCACCTTTAATAACCTTTTCAGATTCTCTCCTTCATGACTTGCTTTATTTGAACATGCAGGTGTCTTTTGTTTCCTCATGGTCACACAGAGTGGCCTGCAGGATCTTAGTTCCCCATCCATGGATCTAACCTGGGACACATCAGTAAAGTGCAGAGTTCTTATCATTGGACCTCCAGGGAATTCCCTGTAGTTTTGTTATTTTTTTGGTAAAGATTAAGTCTTGTCTTGTGGGAAAGTATTCTGGTAATATTAATTCATTTACTTTTCCCTTAAGCAGACTATAAATGTTTCCATGTTGGAACTTTTAATCTATTGTAATTGCATACCTTCTTTATGCTTTTCCCTTGCAATAAAAATAAAAACAATTTAGCATTAAAATGAAAAAAATATGATTTCTTTCATTGAAATTTCCATGTGGGAAATTTTTCTTCCCATATGGAATCTATCTTGTAGTAATATGGCATTCCTGGCCTGGTCACAGTTGCAGGGGGGTGATGATATTTTTTCTGGAACACTGTGCACGTCATTTGTTGAGTATGTGAGTACCTATTATATGCCAGACATTTAACCTCTAGGTCCCTGTGCTGTGCCAGAGACCACCGTTACATTTATTGTCTGTCATGTCCTCCTTTTTTGCTTGTCTTCCAGTAACAAATGTGAGATGAGAAAGTAGATAATAACTAGAACAGAGCAACCTGATAGTTGTAGGTTTTTGTTTTGATAAGGTGGAAGAAAGTAGGCAGATGCAATAATCTCCTTACAGTTTATGAAGGTGAAGTAAATTTAGAGTAATTTGGACTCAGAATAAAACAGGTACTATCAGTGGATAACCAACGGGGACCTACCATATGTCAGAGGGAACTCTGCTCAATATTATAAAACAACCTAAATGGGAAAAGAATTTGAAAAAGAGTAGATACATATATATGTGTAATTGAATTACTTTGTTGTTCACCTGAAACTAAAACAACAGTGTTAATCAACTGTACTCCGACATAAAATGTTAAAAAAAGATATTGTCATTTTTAGGAATCATCTTTATACGTAAGTCACTCTAATAAAATTTTAGAAGTAACTTTTTTCCCCCTGATTATTAGGAGCAGTACATGTTTACTATAGAAACTTGTAGACACTGCCAAAGAAAAAATTTCCCACAATTATGTGACCCAGAGGCACATACTGTTAACATTATGGTGAATGTCTTTTTTGATTTATTTTAAATGTACACAGTTTTGGTGTGGAGTCTTTAGGGGTTTTTTTTTTTTTACAGAGTATCATGTCATCTGCATACAATGACAGTTTTACCTCCTTTACTTTTACCTTTTATTTCTTTTTCTTGTCTGATTGCTATGACTAAAACTGTTAGAACTAATAAATGAATTCAGCAAAGTAGCAGGGTAGAAGATCAGTATGCAGGAATCTGTTGAGTTTCTTTACACTAACAATGAAATGTCAGAAAGTAAAAACAAGACAATCCCATTTAAAATCTCATTAAAGAAATTAAAATAGCTAGGAATAAACTTAACCAAACTGCAGTCCGTGGGGTCGCAAAGAGTTGGACACGACTGAGTGACTGAACAACAACAAAAAAGAACAATGAAAGATCTATATGCTGTGAATGATAAAGCATTGATAAGGGAAAGATGATACAAAGAAGTGGAATGATAGTCCCTGCTTTTGGATTGGAAGAATTAATACAGTTATAATGGCCACACTGCCCAAAGTGATCTAAATATTTAATGGGATCCCTGTCAAATTATCCATGGCATTTTTCACAGAGCTAGGACAAATAGTCCTAAAATTTATATGGAGTCATTAAAGACCTAGACTTACCAAAGCAATTTTGAGGAAAAACAGCAAAGCTGGAAGCATAACCCTCCCAGACTTTGGACAGTACTACAAAGTTACAGTAATCAAAACAGCATGGTGTTGGCACAAAAACAGAAGTATGGATCAATGGAACAGCACAGAGAGCTCAGAAATAACCCACATGCATGGTCAGTTAATCCCAACAAAGGAAGCAAGAATATACAATGGAGAAAAGGCAGTCTCTTCAGCAGGTGGTGTTGGGAAAGCTAGACAGCTGCATGTAAATCTATGAAATTAGAACACTCCCTTATACCATACACAAAAATAAACTCAAAATGACTTAGAGACTTAAATATAAGACATGGTACCATAAACGTTGTAGAGGAGAGCATAGGCAAATATTCTTTGACATAAGTTACACTAATGTTATCTTAGTTCAGTCTACCAAGGCAAAAGATAAAAAATAAAAGCAGACATAAATAGATGGATCTAATCAAACTTAAATGTGTTTGCACAGCAAAGGAAACCATAAACAAAATGAAAAACAACGTATAGACTGGGAGAAAATATTTGCAAATGATGTGACCAACAAGGGCTTAACTTCGAAAATAAACAGGCAGGTCATGAATCTCAGTGTCCAAAAAAAAAAAAAACCCCAATTAAAAAATGGGCACAGTACCTGAATAAACATTTCTCCAAAGAAGACATATAGAGGGCCATCAATTGGGTGATAAAATCCTCCACATTGCTAATTAGTAGAGAAATGCAAATCAGAACTACTGTGAAGTATCAGTATCATCTCACATTGATCAAAATGGCCATCATCAAAAAGTCCAAAAATAAGCAGTTGCTGGAGAGGGTGTGAAGAAAAAGGAACCCTCCTACACTGTTGGTAGAAAGGTAAATGGGTGCAGCCACTGTGGGAAACAGTCTGGAGATTCCTGAAAACACTAAAAACAGAGTTACCATACAGTCATACTCCTAGGCACATATCCTGAGAAAATGCTACTTCAAAAAGATACATACACTCTAATATGCATAGCAGCACTATTTACAGTAGCTAAGACAGGGAAGCACCTGAAATATCCACCTGCCAATGATAAGGGGATAAAGAAGATGTGGTATATATTCAGTGGAATATTACTCAGCCATTAAAAGTAAAACATTGACAATTTAGCTACATGCGTGGACCTAGAGATCATCGTACTAAGTGAAGTAAATCAGGCAGAGAAAGGCAAATACCACTTATAAGTGGAATCTAAAAAAATACAACTTATTTATAAGAGAAAGAGACTGACAGACCTAGAAAACAACTTACGGTTACCAAAAGGGAAAAGGGATGGGAGGGGTAAATTGAGCGTGAGATTAATAGATACACTACATTGTATATGAAATAAACAACGAGGATTTACTGTTGTTTAGTTCACAGAACTATATTCAATACCTTGTAATAACCTGTAATGGAAAAGAATCTGAAGCTGCTCCTGTGAAACTAACAAAATGTTGTAAATCAACTACAATTTAATGAAATTAAAAAATGTAAAGAAATGTACACATACACAATTTTTTAAAACAGAAATGGAATTGTATCCACTGTGTTAAAGATTATTTTTATTCAGTAACATCGTGAAAGTGAAAGTCGCTCAGTTGTGTTCGACTTTTGGCGACCCCATGGACTGTGTAGTCCATGGGATTCTCCAGGCCAGAATACTGGAGTGGGTCTTCCCTTCTCCAGGGGAGTCTTTCCAACCCAGGGATCAAACCCAGGTCTCCTGCATTGCAGGCGGATTCTTTACTAGCTGAGCTACAAGGGAAGCCCAAGAATACTGAAGTGAGTAGCCTACCCTTCTCCAGTGGATTTTCCTGACCCAGGAGTTGATCTGGGGTCTCCTGCATTGCAGGTGGATTCTTTACCAACTGAGCTATCAGGGACGCCCTAGTAATGTAATGATGATTTTCATTATGTCAGTTTGATATTTTTTCGCTATTTAGTTGAATGACATTTTCAAAGTTTTTATTATAAGGCAATATACAGTTGTAAAAAGCCAAACATTACAGAAATAAATAATCTGAGAAGGGAAAAATTTATCATAATCTTATTTCTCTAGCTATGCCTGTAATAGTTATTATTTTTCATGGCTTATAGTTACATATTATGATATGATTTTTATTGGCTCTATACATTGGATTGATGTTTACAAATTTATGTAGTCAATTTCCTAGTGTTTTGGTTGCTTCTAATTTATTTTGCTGTTTACAAATAACTTTGAATTGAACATTTTTCTACTTATATATATTTGCTCATTTCCTAAAGATAAATTCCAGAAAGTAATATCACTGCATCAAAGAGGTTACACAGCCTTAAGAATTTTCCATACAATTTGTCTTCTAGAAAGTTATGGTAGTTAAATTTCCTACAACAGCCTGTGAAATTATTCATTTGTACATGTACTCCTAACTCTGATAGCCTTTTGTTTATTTTTCTATTCTGATTGGTAAAAGGTAATACATAATTTTAAATCAGTTTATCATCCTAGTGAAGGTGGTATTTCCTATGCTTATTGACTAAGTTTTCATTTGTTGATTTTTATGTTCTTTTATTTTCTTTTTATTTGAATGAGCTTTTCTTGTATTAAGGATATCAGAACTCCAAGAACACAGTCTGTTTGCTTAACTAAATTGTAGGCTTTTGTTTTTCTTGCTATTGTTATGTACCATTTAAATTGCATAAACTTACCTTTTAAATTTTATATCCAGTAGGCTTGTTATTTGAGTTTATTTTTAAATAACTTGTATACTATTATCTAATAAATGTCCTATGTACTTTTTTTATGATATAAAAGTATAAGCTGAAATTAACTTGTTAACTGCTAGATTACTTATGTTGAAAATGAGGAATAGAAAACTAAAGCATTTGTTTTGTGACCAGTTTACTAAATAGTCACTGATTTAATGAAGCCTATTTTATTTTTTCTTTGTTAATAGCTACAAGTGTATTCATCAGAGTTTGGAGGATAATAATAGATGTCCCAAGTGTAACTATGTTGTGGATAATATTGACCATCTGTATCCTAATTTCTTGGGTGAGTCTTTGGAATGATTTTTAATTTTTAAAAATATTCAGTCCCCAAAAGGTTGTGCTAGCACAAATTTATTTAGAGAACATAACTTATAGGTAAGCATATCTCTCTGTCCTAGTCACCAGAGGTGCTTTCCCCAGTCTTCCTTGGGTTGTGACATCGATTCTGTACTATATGTACCATATATCATATCTATTTAATTAAAAAAAAAAATTGGTCCAATTCTCAGGTTCTTACATCAATAGCTAGGAGGAATGTGAAGCTGTAGGAGAACACCAGAGTTCCAAATCCCTGTCTCTTGTCCTGTTGTGCATTCTTGTTTCCGTTCTGGGGCAGAAGCAGTGGAGGGAAGAGTTAATGGAGAATGGGAAGGGGGGAAAAAGTTGGGCTTGAGGACTCCTGGATGAGGGAACAAGAGTCTGTGACCTGGGGAGGCAATCAAGAAGTAAAACTGGGGAAAGGAAGACATGAATATGGAACATGTAATGGAGGAATGGTGACTGGAGAAGACAGATACAAATAGGGAACCCTTAAGGTAAATGGTAAGTAGTTGGGAATAATACCTAGTCAGAGACCAGTTATGAAAAATCTACAAATTCTATGTGTTGAAAAGCCTAAGGTAGTGTGGAAAGTCTTCAGTTTGAGTTTTTGTGAATGAAGATTAATTTTCAGGTGTGGATAGGCAGGAAGTATGATGCTATTTGTTATGTATATCAGAAAGGATAATTCTGCTTTCTAAAGTGTAACATACTTGGAGGTAAGGATATATACATTCTGACCTCCCTGTGCTTCAGTTGCAGTTTGATTTGTTTGGTGTTTTACAGTATTAAATCTTGATGTGGAACCTGTTTAACCATGGCTTTCCTTTTTTTTTTAATCTCTGTTCTAAAATTCCATTGACTTCAATCCTTTCTTCTCTTTCATTCTTCACTGCACTCCAGTATCTTTACATAAAGGAAAATAAATCATTGGATGATTGCATAGCAGAAAGGAACCCTGAAGAAAATATTCTGATGATTTTCTGTTGAAATACCAAGTTCTTCTAGGTAGATAAAGTTTTATGATAAACTAGGAGAAAAGAAGAAATACTGATTGATATGATACTCTGTGGGACTGGGCTTCATGAGGTGAGTTAGGGAAACCAAAGTCCTGCAAAGCAGAAGCCTTTGTCCTTGAACTCACAAACATGGATTCATGCTACTTACGAGTTTTAGAATCACTTTTCTTTGAGTTCTTATAACTTTAGAAAACTACTCCTTCTTTTGGAATGGTTAAGTACAGCAAGGAAATCAGTGGTCTTAAGATTTTGGTATTTACCAAAAATTTCAGGCAGTATTCCTTAATGAGACCATAAGTTAGAAATTCTCTTGTGTAAATTTCTAAATAGAGTGAGAACACCATATGGAAGGAATGTGAAAATATTAACACTAAGATGTAATTTCATATTTTATATGTTCTCAAATGTGTACATTCAGTGAATAGTGAAGTCATAATTACTGATTTCCTTAGCTGGACATTATCTTCGCTGTGATCCAGTTTTTAATCTCTTTATATGGGTAAAGAATTTTGGTTTTATGTAATTTAAGTGTTAAGTATTTTATGCCCAGATTTGAAGTCTTAGTTATAATGCAGCTTCCAGTATGAGTATTTATGTCAGCCACAGAAATAACATTTTATCCTGATACGTTTATTCTATTTCGCTGCCGTCACCCTTTCCAGTCTTTACCTTTGTACAGTGATAGTCAAATCCTCAGGTTCCTGTGTACTCAGGAAGCCACTGAGATCTGTTTCTGAAAACAGATCTGTACTGAAAAAAAAAACAATTTGTTCCCATTGATTTAGTTTGAGATTACATGATTTGTATAATGCCTGTAGTTCTTCGCTGGACTAGAAAGATGTTGAGCCTTCTAAAAGTAATATCAGATTTCCTCTTGAGCATCGTAAAATAACTGTTAAGTTATATGATTCTGAAGTATTCTAATATTTTTATTGATAGGTTAGGATCCTTCACTTTTAATGATTTACATTTACTTGAGTCATGGCTAGAGGGCTGGGCTACACATTTTCAAAAAGATCTTCAAACCTTTTTGCTTGGATGACATAAAAATTCTGAAAAATGATGTACTTCCCAGGTTGATGCCATATTTAAATTAGCATCCAAATTTTTCTTTGTGAGTTTTAGTGCTTGTAAAGAATATAGTTTTTAAAGTATTATAAATATGGTTATTTAAAAATAAGCTTTTATCTCTTTTTAAAATGTATCTAGTGGAAACTGAATAGTATAGTGATTTGATACTTACCATTGTTCTAAAAATAAAGACTTTTCATTAACAATGAGAAATTTTGTGTTTTGTCCCTTTGAACTTCTGCTTAAATTGCAAATTGCCCATGAAATTTTGTCATTATGTATTTTTGGGACTTCCCTGGCAGTTCCCTGGTTAAGACTCCATCCTTCCAATATTGGGGGCAACCAGTTCAATCACTGGTTGGGAAATTAGGATCCCACATGCTGCCCAGTGTGGCCAAAAAAAAATATATATATATATATATATACACACACACACACACACACACACACACATACACACATACATGTTTGAAATTCTTACTGATTTATCTATCATACTTTTCTGTAACAGAAAATAGAAATTACAGACTTTGAAGTTTCTTTTGATCTTTTGAATGTGTTTTTTCTGAGTTGTAATTATTTGACATGCATTTGATCAAATAAATAGGTACAAATTTTATAAAGTATTAGACATAAAAATTTATTGAAAATGGCTGCTTAATGTGTGATGGTGTTCTTCTCAATTAGTTCCATTGCCACTGATAGTTATTACTAGGGCAGGGATTCAGTTTCGTTTATATATTTCTTATTTATTTAGGATCATCATAGTTTTTTTTTAAAAATTTGAGATATAATTGACATATTGTGTAAGTTTAAGACTTTTTATTTTGAAAAGTGTAAGTCATGAGAAACTCTGCTTACATAAATACTTTGATGGGGATTGAAGGAACTTTGTTCCAGCAGTGTCACTTATTTCTTTGACCTCCTTCTGAATTACATGCTTCAAAAAAAGAAGCATTTATTTAGTAAAAAAAAAAATTTTTTTTACTGCCATAATCATTAACAAGTCCACTTCTTTCTTCAGTTTTAGTGAGAGCAAAGAATTGGAAGTCATACACCCCAAACACAAGCGGATTTGGTTTTCTGGTCTTTAGACTCATGCATTTTTTTGTCAAGACAGGTATTTTGATTTTTTCCTTTCATGCCCTAAGCCCTACACTACAGTTCCTCCTTTTTCTTCTTCCTCTAGTTTTCTTCCAGAGAAGGCAGTGGCAGCCCACTCCGGTGTTCTTGCCTGGAGATTCCCAGGGACAGGGGAGCTTGGTGGGCTCCTGTCTGTGGGGTCGCACAGAGTCGGACACAACTGAAGCGACTTAGCAGCGGCAGCTACCTTTCTTCCCTCCTTCTCCCTTCCCCCAGAAGGGGCACAACTCTCACTTTTTGCCTTTCTATCCTCTTTGCTCTTCAGTTCGGTTGCTTAGTCGTGTCCTGGCTCTTTGTGACCCCATGGACTATAGCATGCCAGGTTTCCCTGTCTATCACTAGCTCCTGGAGTTTGCTCAAACTTATGTCCTTCGAGTCAGTGATGCCATCCAACCATCTCATCCTCTGTCGTCCCCTTCTCCTGCCTTCAATCTTTCCCAGCATCAGGGGCTTTTCCAGTGAGTCAGTTTTTTGCATCAAGTGGCCAAAAGTATTGGAGCTTCAGCTTCAGCATTAGTCCTTCCAGTGAATGTTCAGGACTGATTTCCTTTAGGATGGATTGGTTTGATCTCCTTGAAGTTCAACGGACTCTCAAGTCTTCTCCAGCACCACAGTTCAAAAACATCAATTCTTTGGCGCTTAGCCTTCTTTATGGTTCAACTCTCACATCCATCCATGACTACTGGCAAAACCATAGCTTTGACTAGATGGACCTTTGTTGGCAAAGTAATGTCTCTGCTTTTTAATATTCTGTCTAGGTTTTCATAGCTTTTCTTCCAAGGAACGAGCGTCTTTTAATTTCATGGCTGCAATCACCATCTGCAGTGATTTTGGAGCCCAGGAAAATAAAGTCTGTCACTGTTTCCATTGTTTCCCCATCTATTTGCCATGAGGTGATGGGGCCAGATACCATGGTCTTTGTTTTTTAAATGTTGAGTTTTAAGCCAGCTTTTTCACTCCTCTCACTTTCATCAAGAGGCTTCTTCCACTCACATGAAGGGAGTTCTGGGGACCCTTCCACTTACCAGGCTGCTTTTTGTCCCAGTATGTTCAGGAATGGGGATCTGTTAGGTCCCCTGTTTTAGCCTGAAGCTGTCCCAGGCCACCAGCGAGGACCAGCAAGCAGGGTTGCAGCTTGTGACTGAGAACATGAAATTATAGAGTGGGGCTGTGGGCAAGTGAGTCTGGGGATTGCGGAATCTGGACTCTCTTTCTCTACTGTTGCTGGAAGGCTCATGTCGGGTAAGGGGGTGTGTCTCCTCCAAGCTCTGCAGTTGCTCTCCTGCATTCCTTCTAGGGCTTACTCTGGCTCTCCCTGTCCTTCCGTGATGCATGATCTTCCTCCAGCTACACCCTGCCGCTACCCCCACCCCCACCCCAGCAATCTGTTTTCTAGTGTTCTCTGTGGATAAAATTTGTAAATTGAATGGTCTTACCTCCCTAATGAATGACTTTCTTACTCTTTAATGTAAAAGACAACATGCATGCAAAATTTAAAATCTGTGCTTTAAAAAAAGTCACCAACACATATAATGTCTTTACTACTGCCAAGTACTTTTCCAGGCACTTTATACATTCTCAGTCCTATGACATAGGTAGCTGTTGTCATCTGCATTCCTCCCCTGGGGGAACTAAATTACAAAGAAGGCAAGTAACTTGTGTAAAGTTCAACAGCCCCAGTAAATGGTGGAATCGGGATTTGGTCCTTAGTATGGGATTTGGTCCTGACTTGAGTATGTGGTTTTACTTTGCTATCTTGCCTCTAAAATGACAGTTGCTAGAATGAACTCTTTAGCAGTAGAAAGGCATTTTGTTTATTTGTTTTTTTGGCTGTGCTGTCTTTGTTGTGGGGTGTGGGCTCTTGATTGCAACATGTAGTCTTCACTGGTTGTGGCCTGCGGGCTCAGTTGCCCCATGGCATGTGGGAACTTAGCTCCCTGACCAAGGATCAGACCTGTGTCCCTTGCATTGCACGGTGGAATCTTAACCACTGGACCACCAGGCATGTCCGAGAAAGGCATTATTTGTTCTTGGTACCATGGCTATTATAAGGATCCAGAGAATTCCAGTTAAGGGTTTGGAACATTCATGGCCAGTGGTAAATGAGATTTCTTGAGATTTTTACCCCCTCTACTCCCTCCTACCCCCATCCCACACCGTTTTGGGGGCACACCATGTGGCTTGTTGGACGTTGGTTCCCTGACTCGGGATTGAGTGCAGACCCATGGCAGTGGGTCCTAACCACTGGATCACCAGGGAGATTCTCACACACCCTTATTTGAATTCTTTTCCACTTCTTTTCCTGGTTAGTGAGTCTCTGTGTGCTTATTATGGCCCAGTTCTGATGTCATCTCCTGTGTGAAGTCTACTCGTTAACATTTTAATAGCTCTTTGTCCTGTGTTCTTTTTAAATCCGTTCAGTGATGGTACTGATTATCATAACTGATGCATTGTATGTGTTTGTCTGCCTACTCCTAGTTGTTTGCATCTTTAAGTCTTACTTAGGTTGAGTCTTATCTTTAAACCTTGGTTTCTAGCATGGCCCTGGTATCTCTCTGAATTTTTAGAAAATATTTGTAGTAAATTGTGGTATGGTGGGAAGTATTAGTTAGGTTTATATCCTAGCTTTGTCTTGTATTATATGTCACCATGAGTAACTTTCTTGTGCTCTTTCTAGTATTTCCTCATCTCTAAAATGCAAAGAATAACCCATAGGATAACGTCTGTAAATTAAAGACCAGTACGTTAAACTAGCTTAGTGCTAGTTGCTCTTTTCTTTTATCAGTTTTTTTTTTTTTAATCAGTTGGGTGTTAAAGATGAAAAATCTATTAAGAGTGGCTGGAACATTAAAGGAAATGTATTGATTTACACAGAAAGAATTTCTAGATTGAGTTGATTTGATATCTCAGTGATGTGATCAGATTCTTTCCATCTTTCTGGCCTTCCTTCCCCAGCACATGTGTTGGTCCTTTGGCCAGCTCCCCTCAAGAGAGATGCAGGGTGGCTCTAAGTGATTCCAGGTATCATCCCTAGATGAAGGCAGACAAAAGTCTCATTCAAGCCTTCTCTTCTGAAAGATAGCATACCCTTTGCTGGGCAAAATGAGGTCTCAGTAGTTAACCATTTTGTCAGTCACTGTCAAGAGGATGACTAGATGGATTTAGGTTAAGTCAAGCATCATTCCGTAGGGCCAGGGAGGGATCTAGCCTCTCTGAAAGTATATGGCAGTTGGCATTCTGACATTTGGGAAAAAATAATATTATTATTTTTATTTATTTATTATTTTTTGACCACACTGAGCGCTGTGTGGAATCTTAGTTCCCGGGCCGGGGATCAAGCTGGCGCCCCCTGCAGTGGAAGTGCAGAGTTTTAACCACTGGAGGGCCAGGGAAGCCCCTCATGTTCTTATTTTTTAAAAAAGGGTTAGAATGGCTTTTGGATAGATAACCGACTGTGTTTGCCATGATATTTATGGAAAAGTCACAAGCAGAAAGAACAACAAATGAAACCTTGTAGTGCCTCCCTCATGGAATCGGCCACTTAGCCTGTAGAGTGTGAAACGGTCCTCACGGCCAAGAGCTGTGTCCAGATGCTGCTAGTGTCATCACTGACGCATGTGAGAGAAAGGACACATTCTGAAGAAGTCTCCTTTTGCAGTAATAGTGATGGTCATAGTAGTGGCAGTTGTAGTAATAGCGAGCTAATTTGGAAAAAAAAAGCGTATTCTGCTTAGCATTTTTTTTTTCTGAGATTTGAGACTTTTTAAAGTTAAATAGAATCTATTTAAATAGAACAGTTAGATAGATCATTTAATAAAAGTACAGATTGTATGTGCTTTTTGTTTTGTTTTTGTTTTCAGTGAATGAGCTCATTCTCAAACAGAAGCAAAGATTTGAGGAAAAGAGGTTCAAATTGGACCACTCAGTGAGTAGCACCGTATGTTTCAGCTCTTTTACTACTATTTTTAATAAATTTCGTTTTGTTCTGTTCATTGGTTTAATATTAATTGGGTATCAAGCTTAGCATATTACTGATTTTTCTTAAAGGAGATCTAGGATTATTCTATTCAGTAAACAGCTTTCTTTTATCTGAATTGTCTAAAATATACTCTTTTGAAAGGTCTGGCGGGGTAATACTGAGTCAGTTGGCTTGTAACACATTGCATCTAAAGAATTAAAATGCAGGATGAAATTATGGGTGGTCATTTGAGGAAAAAAAAAACTGTTAAGAGATTCTCAATTTAAGAGGATTAACCCCAAATTACTGAAGCAAGTAAGCTTAAATTATTACCTTACCAAATACAAAGTGGAAAATATGGTTACACAAGTAATTAAAATCTAGGCACTTGTTTCGAAGGGAATTACACCTTTAGAGAAGCTGACTTGACATATCTTGAATGTGCCTTTCATATCATTTAAATTTATTTAAGGGAGAAATAGTGATTAAATTATAATTAGAAGGCATTGGGGAGCCACTAGCTGGGAAGGAATAGTTTATTTTTGATATGTAATAAACATATTAGAAAGTAGCAAGCATTTGTTTTTGATTCTCTAAAACAGTTTTGTTAAGTTGGGTTTCTTCTTTGTTTTTAGAATGGCCACAGGTGGCAAATATTTCAGGATTTGTTGGGAACTGACCAAGATAACCTTGATTTGGCCAATGTCAACCTCATGCTGGAGTTACTAGTGCAGAAGAAGAAACAACTGGAAGCAGTAAGTGGCCCCTGAACTTAAAAAATTTTATTTTAAAAAGATATAGAAGTATTTAAAAATAATAGGGTAGTGTTACTCAGTCAGTCCAGTTTTATTCAGCAAGAGTCATCCGCAAGCTACCACTTATAAGATTTCCCTTTTTCAATTCAAAGAAAGAACAAATTCCTTGTAATACAACTTACTCGCAGTGCCCAATTTTTGTTAACAAAAGCTGAGTGTTCAGATCATGAGAAAGTAGAGCTTCATTTTAATGGGGAACAATTATTATTGATCTTTTTTCTTCTAATGAATCTTCCCCTCTTCACATGTGGGATTTGGAGGAGAAAATAGGGATTATTTTTATTTACATAAAATCCTTCCAGCAGGTGTCGGTTAGTAGTAGCGGCAATTGATGGCTTAACTAAGGGCATTTAGAAAGATGGGAACTGGAACAACATTATGTTCTGTTTTCATGTAATGGAATCTAAATAAGTGAAAAGTTGCATTTACTTCAGGTAAATAAATGTAAAACATATAAAATGAGAATTTGCATGTATTAGTTAGGAATTGAGTATGCTCCATTCAAATAAAGATTGTATACGTTAGTGTAAGCAGATACCCACCCTGAACTACCTTGAACAAAAAGGGGATATAAATTGACCGAATAAGGGAGTGAGAAGCTCACACACATAAAAAGGAAGAGCTTAACAAGCAAGTGTTAGGAACATGGGAACCATCACTTCTTTGGTGACTATATGGAAATGAAATCAGGCATTTGAATGTTGTCAGGAGAGTGTCTGTTTTACTTCTCATGACTGTTTCTTTGGGACAGGTTTGATTTTCTTTCATTGGGTTTTTATCCCATGGCAGATAGTGTGGTCACCTGTACTTGCGAATTTATGTTTTTTGATAAAAGAAGAAAAATGGCCTCTCAACTTGATTTTTAAGAAATTCTGTGGATTGATTCTGATTAAAATAGCTTAGGTCTGGATGAAACTGAGTAGAATGGGAATCTCTTAGTGGGAGAAAGGACTAGTTGAGATTGAGCTGACTAAAATGAGCCTCCCTGTTGTGTCTTTTTTCATGGTGGGAATTTCTCCTGTGGTTTTTCTGGAGGGGAGAGTGGGATGGCTTTATCTTTTATTTGCTTTTCTTTCTTTCATATTTGTTGAGATGTAACTGATATGTCATTGCTTAGTTGTTCAGTCATGTCTGATTCTTTGGGACTCCATTGACTGTAGCCTGTCAGGCTCCTTTGTCCATGGGATTTTATAGGTGAGAAATACCAGAGTGGGTTGCCATTCCCTTCTTTAGGGGATCTTCCCTACCCCGAGGTTGAACCCATGTCTCTTGTGTCTCCTGCATTGGCAGGAGGATTCTTTACCACTGGTGCCACCTGGAAAGCCAAGATTGATGTGTAGCACTGTGTAAGTTTAAGGTGTATAGCATAACGGCTTGACACACATATATTGTAAAATGATTATTCCAGTAAATTTAGTTAACATCATCTCATATAGATAAAAGAACAAAGAAGAAAAGTTTTTTTGTTTTTATTTTTTCCATGATGAGAGCTTTTTTAGGATTTACTCGCTTAGCAACTTTCAGATAGACCCTCCACCAGTGTTAACTATAGTTATCTTTTTATACATTGTATCCTCGTTACTTATTTACCTTAAAATGGGACGTTTGTCCTTTTCTGTTTGTTTTTTCCCTTTTAATTTTTTAAAATTATTTTTATTGGCATGTAGTTGCTTTGTGATGTGTGCTCGTTTCTGCTGTGCAGCAAAATGAAGCCGCTGTACATGTTTATAGGCCCCATCCTTCTGGACTCATTCCCATCCCGGTCACCACAGTGCATTAGGTAGAGATGCCTGTGCTATACAGTATGTTCTCACAGTTACCTGTTTTGTTTTATTTATTTAAACACTTTTAATATAATTTCATTTATCTACTTTTGGCTGTGCTGGGTCTTCATTGCTGCACAGGCTTTTCTCGAGGTGTGGTGAATGGGGTCTACTCTCCAGTTGCAGTTAGGGGGCTTCTCATCGCGGTGGCTTCTCTCACGGAGCACGGACTCTAGGGCATATGAACTTTAGAAGTCATGGTTCCAGAACACAGGCTCAGTAGTTGTGGCTCACAGGCCTAGTTGCTCTGCAGCATGTGGGATCCTCCTGGATCAGGGATCAAGCCCATGTCTCCTGCATTGGCAGGTGGATTCTTTACCGCTAAGCCATCAGGGAAGTTCTAGTTCTCTATTTTAAGCATAGTGTCAGTAGTGTATATGTGTCAATTCCAGTCTCCCAGTTTCTCCTCCTTTCCCTTCACCCTTGGTGTCCATGTATTTGTTCCCTACGTCTGTGTCTTTATTTTCTGCTTTGCAAATAAGATCATCTATACCATTTTTCCAGATTCCATGTATATGTTTTAATATTCGATATTTGCTTTTCTCTTTCTGACTTAAACTTTTACTTTGTATGACATTCTAGGTCCATCCATGTCTCTACAAGTGACTCCATTTTGTTCCTTTTTATGGCTGGGTAAAATTCCATTGTGTGTATTTATCACCTCTTCTTTATCCATTGCTCTGTTAGTGGACATTTAGATTGTGGAAATTGTACTTTTTGACCTTTATTCAATTTCCCCTGTTCCCTGCTTTTGGTAACCACAAATCTGATCTTTTTCTGTAAGCTTGGGGTTTTTTGTGTGTTCCTTTAAGAGTCATATGTACACGAGATCATATGGTGCTTGTCTCTCTTTCTGCCTTATTTCATCATACTGCTCACGAGGTCCATCCATGCTGTCACAGATGGCAGCGTTTCCTTCCTTTCTGTGGCTGGATAGCATTTCATTATATTTATGTCCCACCCTTGTGGCTCAGTTGATAAAGAATCTGCCTGCAGCGCACGAGGTCTGGTTTCGATCCCTGGATGGGGAAGATCCCCTGGAAAAGGGAAAGGCTACCCACTCCAGTGTTCTGGCCTGGAGAATTCCGTGGATTGTATAGTTCATGGGGTCTCAGAGAGTCCGACATGACTGAGCGACTTTCACTTTCACACCACATCTTTATCTAGTCATGCGCTGATGGACACTTAGGTTACCAACATATCTTGGCAGTTGTAAGTAATGCTGCATTGGACATGACAGTGCAGGTGTTTCTCTGACATAGTGGTTTAATTTCCTTTGGATATATACCCAGAAGTGGGATTGTTGGATCACATGATAGTTTTATTCTTAACATTTTTGAGGACCCTCCATTCTGTTTTCCATCGTGGCTATACCAATTTACTTTCCTACTATCAGGGCACAAGGGTTCCCTTTTCTCCACATCCTCACTAGCACGTGTTCTTTATTGTCCTTTTGACTGTGACCATTCTGACTAGTGTAAGTGATGTCTTCTTGTGGTTTTGATTTGTATTTCCCTAATGATTTGCGGTTGAACACCTTTTCATATACCTGTTGATTATTTGAATATCTTCTTTGGAAAATCCCTTGCCCATTTTAAAATTACATTATTTGGTTTTTTTTTTTTTTTCTAAATCGCTACTGAATTATATTAATTCTTTATATACAGTATTTTGTATATTAACCTCTTATCAGATATATGATCTGTAAGTATTTTCACCCATTCTTTTGGTTGCCTTTTCATTTTGTTGATCATGTTTTTGGTTTTCAGAAGCTTGTAAATTTGGTGTAGTTATACTTGTTTTTTGTTTTGTTGCTTTTACTTTAGGTGTCTTATCCCAGAAATTGTTGCCAAAACCCTTCTGTGCTTTTTAACATGGTTTTCTGTTAGCATCTACTGTGTGCTAGATGCTGGGTTAAAGGTAGTGGAAAAGACAGAATTCTGCTCTGTGTGTTGTGTTGAGGGGAACAGGGTACAATAGCTGAGGAGATAAACTAAATAATAAATATTTTCACATAGTGGTAAATGATATAAAAATGCTTTATTTTAAAATAAAAATGCTTTTTAATGATAGACTGAACATATATAGTTATCTTGCTCCCTTAATGTCATTAAAATGACAGTAAAGTGATTTTTAAAAGGCAAAAGAATAGGAGAAGAGACAATATACTTTCTTAAGCTATAAAGGAGATGGATGAAAAGTGATAGATTAGATTGAGAAAATTGAGCCAGCGGTAGGGAATTGGTGGGAACCAACTGCTATTTAGATTATGGGAAAAAGGCCTTTCTGGGATTTGGGAGCATGAGATACCTCATAGAGTAAAGGTTGAAAACAAACAGATAATTTGTTTAGAATCTGACTAAGAAGCAGTTGGAATCTCTGATCCCTTCCTGTATAACTCATAGCTGTTGACCTTAAGAGAACACTAGAAGTTTTTCCCCTGGTGGTGGTAAAAGAGAGACTTTCTGGACTATCACACTACAGACACATTTAAAGGTATGTGGGGCTTCTGTACTGGAGATAGACAGATTTATATACTGAATGTGAGAGCTGTTATCTTTATTCCCCATTTGACTTGTCAGTATTCATCTTTGCATGCTTTTATCTCTTAGAATTGAAGAAATACAGGTATCTTAGTTTTACAACTCAGATCTTTTTGAAGAGAGAGGCAGTTCAGAAACAAAGGTATCATAAGTATTTACAGCATTTTTACATTATTGTTTTCTTGTTTTACTTTGCACTCTAATAATCACTGAAAACTAACCAAACTGATCACATGGCTCACAGCCTTGTCTAACTCAGTGAACTATGAGCCCTGCTGTGCAGGGCCACCCAAGATGGATGGGTCATGGTGGAGAGTTCTGAAAAAATTTGGTCCCCTGGAGAAGGGAATGGCAAACCATTTCAGTATTCTTGCCTTGAGAACCCTATGAACAGTAGGAAAAGGCAAAAAGATACGATACTGAAAGATGAACTTCCCTGGTCGGTAGATGCTCAATATGCTACTGGAGAAGAGTGGAGAAATAGCTCCAGAAGGAATGAAGAGACGAAGCCAAAGCAAAAACAACTCCCAGCTGTGGATGTGACTGGTGATGAAAGTAAAGTCCAATGCTGTAA